TGAATATCTTTGTTAGTTAATGAACTCATTTCAAATAATGAATATAATTATTAAGTTTAAACTTTTTTATTCAGTGAAACCAAAATTTTTGTTAATTAAGAAGTTATAAAAACTTTGATATTTGATTAAAATAATTTGAAATTATAAAAAAAGTTTAAGAAAAAAATATATTTTATTAAAGAAATATTATTTGTTATGTAAGACATTTAATATAATAGTTTATACAAAAAAATGTTATTTTTTTTTTATTAAAAATATATTTTTAAATGGTATTTATAAAAATACCATGAAATTAGATTTAAAACAATTCTAAAAGATTAAATGATGTTTGTTACCATTTTTAAAGAACTTTTTATTAGTATTTTTTTATGAGTACACTAACATTAGCTGAAACACCTATTCATGTTGGAATAGATTTAGGAACAACATATTCATCTATTGCTATATATTCTGAAAATGAAAATAAAAATGATCCAATAGAAGTCTTAGAAATAGCAAATAATGAATTTTCAGTACCATCATGGGTTCAACTATTTAAAGGAAATGATGGAACAAAACAATACAATGTTAGTATAAATGCAAAGAGAAGTGGTGGTATTTGTCTTCATGATTCTAAAAGATTAATAGGAGAAACAGTTAAACATTATAATGAACAAAAGAACTTATTACCATCATTTACGTCATTTGTAGTTTCAACAGAGAACGATGAAATAAAAATGTGTGTTGAAGATCCTCTTAATCAATCAGAAACAGAAAGTTTTTATCCAATTGAAGTATCAGCAATGGTTCTTAGAACATTATATAATATACTCAGGCAAAGAATAGGAAATAAAAAAATAGGAAAAGTAGTTGTTACCATTCCTGTTTCTTTTACACCAAGACAAAAGAAAGAAACAATTCAAGCATGTAAAATGGCAGGATTTGAAGATATTTCTTTATTACATGAACCAACAGCATCAGTTATAGAATTTGATAGAGAGTTCCATTTAAAAGAGAAGTCTAAAATTGTTGTGATTGATTGTGGAGGAGGAACAACAGATGTTGCTTGTTGTATTTTCAATGGTCAAGAACAACTAGATAACAATAAAATTGGAAAGGTAAAGGAGTTTATACTAAATAAAATCAAAGAGGTCTTGAAAACACAAAAAGATTTTTTGATTCTACTTGAACCAGAGAAAGAATCAGATAAAACAAGAATAAAAAGTAAGAAGAAATTTGTTTCTCAGAATATTGAAAAAATAACTGCAGAATCTCTCAAAACATTGGAAAAAGGTAATTCAATGAAGATTGGTTTGTGGGATATATATCCAGAGTGGGAAGATGAAATAACAATAACTCCTCAAGACGTTAACCTACAAATTCAAAAACCAGACACTAAATCAAAAATTGACTGTGTTTGGAATGAAAGTGATTTAAATTTAGGTGGAAATAATTTTGATGACTCTCTTATTACAGTTATTCTTGATAAAATAAAAAGTCACATTGGTGATACTGATTTTCAAAGATTGTTTAAAGTCAATTCTAAGGATACTAAAACAGTCAAAAGGATGAAAGAAAAAAGGATGAAAAAAATTAGAATAATTGCAGAAGACATTAAAAAGTCATTTTCTGGAAATACAAACAGTTTACCAATTGATTTAGATTCAATTTCTGAAGGACTTACTGGACAGGTAGATGTTACTAAAGATGAATTTGAAGCACAATGTAAAAAAGATAAAATACTTGAAAAGCTTGAACGGTGTATAAAAAGTGTTGTAGATAGTGCAAACTGGAAGGTTAATGATATAAACTATGTTTTAGCTATTGGTGGCTCTTGTAGTATTCCAATTGTTAGAAGGTTGATTTGTGGTATGTTTTCAAAAGATAAAGTTGTTGGCACCTCTTTCAACTCATACACAAGTGTTGTTAAAGGAGCTGCATGTAGAGCACATCAACTGTCTATAGACTGTGAGGACAGTATCACTCAAGTCATGCCATACACACTTGGATTTGGGTTAGTTGAAAATAAGTATGATGTTTTTGCACCAAAAGGAAAAAAGTTACCAATTGGTTTTCTTGGAGTTTATTCAAATGCTCATGAAAATCAAAGAATAATTAGTATCCCAATTTATAAGGGAGAAGGGAAAAAAACAAATGAAGAAGGTATGGAGTTAGTGACAACTGCAATAATAACAGGACTTCCACCAGGATTAAAAGAGGGTGAATTTAATATGATTTACTTAACAAGAGTGAATACAAGTGGTCTTGTTGAGGTTGAAATAGTTAAAGCAGATAATGGTAAATTCCTTAATAAAATGAAGGCGTTTGTGAATTTAGGATTTGATGAAGATATATTAAAGAAGATTCAACAACATCTTGAACGTTATATCAAAAATTCTGAATAAATTCTAATTGAATTTTAATAGATAAATACTGTTTATTTAGAAACTACACCACC